TAGTGGTGTTGTCCTTCTGTTCGATAGCCACCCATTCTCATGGGCAGCCCCTGCTAAAGCATGTCACTCTCACTCTCTCAATGTCATGTATCCCACCCTAACCAGCATCTCCTGACTTTCTGGATCACCCCCTCTAGTATTCTGACTATAGTTCTTTGACTCCACTGGGACCTCCAATTCTACCACCTCTTCACTACCTCTTACTCCCTTCCTGTCCTGGCTCCCCTTCACCCAGCTGAATTTCATCCACAACAATCATTCAACTGTGTGCACACCTTCAATTTTATCCTCCATTCCTCCGTCATGTTTCTTTGGAGAAACCACAATGCTGCTTAAATCCAGTTCTTTGCCTACTCTGTACCTGCACTTGGGTAACTTACGGCTGGAGAACACACAACCAAGCTCACTGCTCTCACTTTAAATTCATAAGCACAAACGCAGTGAACCCTGACTGCTCAAAGTAACCGTTCTCTACCTCTCTAGTCCATTTGTTCCCCTACTTGTTAGCTATTTGCTACCTTCTTCTCTCCCCTCAAACCTCCCATACCTCCTCCCCTAATCTTTATCATCTTGGCTGATGATGTTGCATCCTGCTTTCCTGAGAGAGAATAGAACTTCCACTGACCCTTACAATCACTTCTCCCCCAACACTCCCATTTGCCCTCTCATATGCCACTGCCCCGCCTGCTCTCAAAGATGAGTATCCATGCTCCTGACTAAAGCCAGCCCTTCCACCTGTGCACCCAGTCCCATCCCTTCTCACCCACTTGTTTTAGCAGTTCAACCTTCTCTCTCTTATATCCTCAAATGTTCATTCTCTCCTGGATCATTTCCTATAGCACAGAAACATGCTGTTATTCTCCCATCTGTCCCTATAAACCATCACCCATTTCTTTGGGCTCTTTACAGCATAATTTGTTGAAAGAGAAGTCTCTACTTGACATTTCTTTTTTTTAAATAAATATTTTATTTATTTATTTATTTATTTATTTATTTATTTATTTATTTGAGAGAGAAAGCAAGGGGGGGAGGAGCGGGGGGGGGGTGGAGGTGGGAAGAACCCCAAGCAGACTCAGCGCTGAGCATGGAGTCCAATGCAGGGCTTGATCTCTGGACCCTAAGATCATGACCTGAGCCAAAACCAAGAGTCGAATGCTTAACTGACTAAGCCACCAGGTGCCCCTCTACTTGACATTTCTGATTCTTTTCCTTCCACTCTCTCCTAAATCCTCTCCAATCATGTTTTTCTACTACTTCACTGAAGCTGCTCTTGTCAAGATCACGAATGACTTCCCCACTGCTAAATCCAATGGTCAGTTCTCACTTTTCATATATTTGACCTTTCTTCATTTGGTTTCTGGGATATCACACTCTCTGGGATTTCCTCCTACCTTTTTAATTGTTTCTTCTCAGTCTCATTGGTTTTTCCTCTCCCACCTGATCCCTTAAATTTGGGGGTCTCCAGTGTCTTGGGCCTTAGTCCTCCTCTCTTCTCTGCCTATACTTATTTCCATGGTGATTGCATCTAAACTTATGACTTTAAATACCACTTAAATGCCTAAGACTCTTGAGTTCATCTCTTCATCCCAGACCTACTTTCTGATATCCAGGCTCACATGTAGTGACCTATCATATCTTCCTTTGGTTGTTTCAAATTGAACATGTCAAAAACCAAATACCTGATTTGGCCCCTACATTAGCACCTCCTATAGCTGTCTCCATCTCAGTTGATGGCAACACAATTTTCCTGGGGCCAAGGCCACAACTTTCACATCAACCTTGATCTTTATCTTTTCTCACACTCTCCATCCAGTTCATTAGAACATTTCTTGTTCTATCTTCATCGTATATCCAGAACTTGACCATTTCTCAGTACCACCTCTGTTACCACCTTGGTCTGAGCCACTGTTACCAGTTTCCTAACCTATTTTGCTGTTTCCATCCTTGCCCCTCCCACCATTTATTCTCAGCATAGTAGCCAGAGTGAACCTTTAAATCTAAATCTAATCAGATTATGTCTCTGCTTAGAATCTTCTAAAGATTCTCGTTCACTCAGAGTGAAAGCCAAAGTCGGGGCACCTGGGTGGCTCAGTGGGTTAAGTTTCTATCTTTGGCTCAGGTCATGATCCTAGGGTCCTGGGATTGAGCCCCATGTGGGGCTTTCTGCTCAGCGGGAGCCTGCTTCTCCCTTTTCCTCTGCCTGCTGCTCCCGCTGCTTGTGCTCTCTCTCTCTCTGTCAAATAAATAAATAAAAATCTTTAAAAAAATAAAAATAAAAAAAAGAGCGAAAGCCAAAGTCTTTGCAGTGGTCTACTAGGCCCTGTGTGTCCTGACCTCAGTTTCCTATCTGAACCCTCTCCTTCTCCTCTCCCCTGAATTCACTACACTCCAGCCACATTGGTCTCCTTGCTGTTCCTCAAACACTCCAGGCAAATTCCCATCTCAGGGCCTTTGCACTGGCTGTTATGTCAGCCTGAAAAGCTCTTCTATTCTTTATGTTACCTTCTTAGTAAAGCCTGCCTTGGTCACCCTATTTTATAATGCACCCCCAACATCTCCTGTTCTGATCCTCCTTATCATGTCTTCTCATTCTTCTTTTCCTCCATCATTTGGAAAAGCTTCTCGTATCACATGGGAAGATTTTTTTTTTATTTTAAGATTTTCTTTATTTGTTCGAGAGCGAGAGAGAGGGAGAAGGAGAGCGCACTAGCAGGGGGAGGGGCAGAGAGCGAGGGACAGAGAGAATCTCAAGAAGACTCCACACTGAGTGCAGGCCTGATATGGGGCTCCATCTCACGACCCTGAGATCATGACCTGAGCTAAAATCGAGAGTCAGACACCTAACCTACTAAGCCACCCAGGTGCCCCTCACATGGGAAGCTTCTAACAAGCTATGCAATTATTTTATTAAGTTTGTGTTTATTATGAGCGTTCTTGTCTGAAATGTAAGCTCTCACAGTGTCAGTGTCTTCATTTTGTTCACTTAGATATAGTAAGTGCCAAGAAAAATGTCTGACACATAGTAGGTGTTCCATAAATACTTGTTGAAAACCTTTAATACATAAGCCTATTCATATAGAAAAGGCAAACATTTTAAAGACATGTTATCGCCTTACTTTAGTCACTATTTGCTTTGCAGAACCTGCTATCTAAAGTCAAGTGTAATTTCTAACTTTGGTTTATAATGCCTGAGTTGAAGCTTCACTTTTTCTATCCTTTGGAGAAGTTCACTTTCAAAACTGTTTTGATGATAGATAAAATGAGAAAGAATAGCAAGGTACTGAAAAGTAAAGTGAAGAATTATGACAGCCATCTGGATATTTCAGCTACATGAACTCCAGTGGTGAACCCCTGTCATCCAGTGAAATAGATAGCTCCCAGCAGAAACACTTTAATTTGTCAATTGGAGCATGGAGGACGGTGGGTTGGAATGAGCATGGTGGGGGGTTGGCTGTGAAAAGGAAATGGAAAGCAAAATGGAAGGAAAATAGATGTGCTAGAAAAGGCATCAAGTACCTAACCCTTGTAAATGACCATGCCTATAGTTATGCGTTGGAAATGCCTGTGTTTTTTCTGACTGAGAAAATTGTGATGTGTGCTTACAGCATAGAGAGGATGACATTTCTCTTTTCCTCAGATCTGAAATATTGTGTTGGTTTTTAACTTACATGGAGAACCGAACTGTAAGAAGTTTGCTTAAACCTCTCCCCTACCCCACGTTCCAGAGCTCATGCTACTACTAATCTTCTGGGAAAAGCAGATTGAAAAGGATTTAAAGAGACCCTTTTCAAATATGAAGGCATGCGAATCCAGCCAGGGAGACAGGCGTTTACAGCCACTAAACAAACACCTGCATTATTCAAGGAGCACTCAGAAATAGGGCTCGACCTACCTGGGGAGGATTTTGCTAAGGAAAGCTGGTTCTCACAGAAGACGGAAGCAAAATTGCCTCATAGGAAACCAGTTGTTTATGTGCATGCAGCTCCAGCCACCTAAAATCATTTTCTCCTTATCTGCTTTAATCAGAGTTTCCTATTAGTTTTTTCCCCAGTTGCTTTCCAGTGTTGACAACAACCACTTTATCGTGGGTGGGTGAGGGTTGGATGGGGCAGGCGTGGGGAATGGGCAAAATGAATAGTAACCACTCTTGTTCCTTACTATTGCTATGTTTTACTTGTTGGGGGGAAATAAAGGAAAGTTAAACAAGTGTTTTACCAAGGCCACAGCCAGGTTGCTCAGGCCTCAGAAGGGCAGTAGGTAACCAGGAGGCACAGAGCATAGGTTTTTCAGAACAGAGCAAAGTGATCAGTGAGGAAGGAGAGGTAGAGAATGCTAGGATGTGTGTATATTGGGGGACACTGCAATTTTCAATAGCATGCACAGACAAAGCTTTATGGAGAAGGAAACTTTTAAGCCAAGATCTAAAGGGAGTGAGGTCTTAATCATGGGGAGGAAAAGCATTCCAAGCAGAGGGAACAGCAAAGAACCTGAAATGGAAACATGCTTAATGGGTTTGCAGAACATCATGGATGTTGTGTGGCTGGAATTGAGTGACCCTGCTTTATTTCTCCCTGATGCTCATCACCACCTGACATGCGATATATTTTCAAACTGATTTGTTTATTCTTTGTAACCCCAGCATCTAGAATAGTGCCTGGCACATAGTAGGCACTGTGCTTTGCTACCCAGATTCCCCTTCAGGAACAAAGACTGCTGGGCATACTGCCAAAAGACAGTTCCTACCTGTCAGCCTCAATCTGTAAGGAGATGGCCTACAACCAAGAACATCGCTCAAAGTCACCCCTCCTTCCTATTGACAAAGACTGATCAATGCAAGAGTGTAAAGTCCTGGATGCCATGCCCCAGTGTGGGACAATTCTGAAGGGCCACCCAAGTTCTAGAACTTTCCATGGGTTTGGCTGAAGCCTTCCTTGAGTCTGTATCAGAGCTCTACTTTTCTTTCTGCCCAATTCTAATTTCTTCCTCTCCTTTCCACAAATGTTGATTTCAGGTGCACTCCCTGTTTGACATCCTGCATGCTAAGCTCTGTCTCATAGTCTGCTTACCAGGGAATCCTACCTGAGAAGGTGTCAGGGGTGGTACTGAGAAAACAGATGCTTGAATTTTGGAAGAGAAACACCTGCCAACTGACAGGCACTGAGGACTCCAACACTGATGGAATGTGGTATGTCCCTCACAGTAGGTAGCAGTGCAATTGTTAAGCCTTTTATTTATGGTAAACCAGGATGATATACTACTGAAAAGAAATGTGATAGTGATACATTATATAGGCATCTGAGAAGTATGGGAGCAATTATATCTATAAGGACTTTGGAATTGAGTGGTGGCTCCTGCTGAGCTCAATTAACGCTCTCGGAAAAGATTTTTGTAAAATGCTGAGGGTGATTACTCAGCAATGAAAAGTCAAGTTTGTAGACCAAGGGGCTTCCTTGGTAGCATACAAAAAATTGTCCATTTCCTGTAGGGGGAAGGCATAAGAAGTTGAGGAACAGGACTAAGACTTAAATGTAAGAGAAAACAAGCTCCAGAGAATATAAACTCCCAACCAAGGAGGATTGTCTTCTATCCCAAGGTCAGCTTTGTTGTGAGAAAGTGGACCCTAACACATGGGATGGGACTTCTAGCTTAAAGCCCCTGAAAATCTTGAATCCATAGCTACAGTGCATTCTGGTAAATGTCTAACAACTAGCTCTCCAATACATTCATCAGATATACTTTAAAGTTTATTTCATGCAATTATTATTTTCTTCATTACTTCCTTTGTCTGGAGAGTAAAGAAAACAATTAAGACCTGATTTAAACTGTTCATTAATTTCCATGGGGTGAGTACTCCCACTGTGGCCAATTTCAAGGTGACATTTCACTGAACATGCTACTCAATAGCACCCTGTTATATATATTTTCGCCATACAGACACAATGGATGCAAACATCCTTGAGAGCATAATAGTAAAATGTAGTAAATCACTAGAGAATGAGTTTTCAGTATGTATGACCTTTGTTTTATTTTTAATTTGATTTTAAGTTTTATAATTTTACTTATAATAATGGGTATTTTTACAACTGGCTCAAAAAATTCCTGAAAATTGAACAATTGGCTCTTGAGATGGGGAACTAACCAGTAAAGAATTCTAATTTACTTAAATAGCAATCAGAGGATCTGGTGTGAAATCAAGTCTCCAAAATTTACTAGGATCTAACACATTAAGATTATGCAATTTCGTTACATAGTCAATGAATCTATCAAGGAGAATGGTACGATTAATCTCTTAGGCTACCATTCTGCCAACTTTGGTTTGGAAATAACTGAGTTTTAAACTGTGCATATCGTTTTTTAGAATCTGTCGTCTTTTTACATATGCAAGAATCAATTCAATTCCCTTAAACGGAAGACTACAACCATTACTCTCCTCACCTAAATTTTGCCAACAACAGTGCCTTCTTAGCAACAGGATCTCTGCAGTTGGTTAGGGATTATTTTATAACATGACAAAAGATTGCAATATAAAATTTGTTCCAATTAACATTCTTAAAATGTTTGCCTGCTGGAGGAAGAACTTTTCTTTAAAGTGCTGTGGATTTTCTTTTGACATGTTGTAGTATAGTGAAACCTCCTGTTTCAGCTTAATGGAGTTGGCCCTAAATAGAGTGGGATGGAGCCAGGAAATTTGATATAAGACAGAAACTAGCATGGCTATACTCTTAGGTTGCAAAAATAAATCTTGAACAATAAAAACATTGGGGTTATTTATTATTGTCTCATTTTTAAAAAAAGATTTTATTTATTTGAGAGAGAGAGAGAGAATGAGCTGGAGAGAGGGGCAGAGGGAGAAGCAGACTCCCTGCCAAGCAGAGAGCCCAGGCCAGGCAGAGAAGATGCTTAACCAACTGAGCCACCCAGGCGCCCCATTGTCTCGTGTTTTATTTGAACTTTTCTTCACTGGCCTGTAGAATTATGTGGTCACTTATTCATTACTTAACAAATATTTGCTACAGATACAAAAACAGTTTAAAATAACTTATTAAGTGTCAACCTAAATAAAGAGGTAAACTGAGGCAAGCTCAAGTTACCAGAAATTGAGCTTATTCGGCACTAACAGAAAAATTGCAATTCACGAAAGAAGAAAAGCAGCAAGCTACAGAAATTCCCAGTGAAATTTGAGGGCAGACTGCATTTATGGGCAAAGAGTGCAAAACCAGCAGATGCAAGCCGGAAGCTCATTGGCTGGAGCATGGGGGAAGATGTGTTTGGCGGCTGCTCATTGGTCAGGAAACAAGTTCCGGTTTTCCGTAAATCAGGCATTTACGGGGTATCAGCCTGTGGGTTCGTAAGTTTCATATGCTTGAGGGCGCCTCTGAGGTTCTCCGTTTCCTGTCTTCCTGGTTCCATTTTAGACAGAAATCCTTTGGTGCTAGAAATATAGTGTCTGCTTCGTGGCTTCATAGTGTAGAGCTTTTAGCCCTCACTCACAGGGCCAGGGCCAAAGACTAGTCAGCTGTGGGCCGTTTTCCGCTTTGCGAGGGGGATGAGGGGCCCCGCACCTGAGGGAAGCCCTTCCCGCTGCCCCTCGTCCCACGGAAGCCGGACGGGAAGGAGTTTGGCATCCATCCTCCCACCACTCGGGTAAGTGAACATTTCCGAAGAATTTTTTACTTTCCTTTGCTACCTCGTTCTTCCCACCACTGAGGGGTTTTCAGCACCTCAGGAAGGTACTCTGAGGAGCAGATTTAGAGAAAGTGAAGGACACAAGGTTCTGCGGGGCTTGTTTTCACGGGTGAAGGGGCGATTTTGTCTCGCCCAAGTGTGAAGTGAAAAACACTGAAGCAAAAACGGTAAACCAGGTGGTATAGTTGGACAGCTTCCCCGTTTTTTTCAGAGTTGGCATTTCATGCTCCAGTTTTATTATTTTTTTAAAATATTTTTATTGAGGTATAATTGACAGAACAATGTACTGGTTTCGGGTGTACAACATAATGATTCAGTATTCGTGTATATTGAAAAATGATCACGACTGAAAGGCTGTTTAACAATCCATTCCTATATATAGTGACAACATTTTTTTTCTTGTGATGAGAACTTTTAAGTTTTATTCTCTTAGCAACTTTCGAATATACAATGTAGTATTATTAACTATAGTCACCATGCTATAACCTTACATGCTGAAGTATCTATTTTATAACTGGAAGTTTGTGCCTTTCGACTCCTTTTATCCATTTCGCACCTCCACCCCCACCCCCCTTCCTCTGGCCACCACCCATCTGTTCTCTGCGCCTATGTGTTCAGTTCTGTTTTGTTTTGTTTTTTAAGATTCTGCGGACATCGTATAGTATTTGCAGTTCTCTGTCTTAACTTACTGTGAACACTTGGGTCATTTCCATTATCTGGGCTGTTGTAAATAATGCAGCAATGAACATGGGGGTGCATATATCCTTTTGAATTAGTTTTTTTTTTCCCTTTGGATAAACACCCAGAAGTGGAACTGCTGGATCATATGGGTGTTTTTCTTTTTAATTTTTTGAGGAACCTCCATACTGTATTCCATAGTGGTTGCATCAATTTGCATTCCAACCAACAGTGCACAAGGATTCCCTTTTCTTCATATCCTCGCCAACAGTTGTTATCTCATCTTTTTGTTGTTAGCTATTCTGATGTGAGGCAGTATCTCATTGTGGTTTTGATTTGCACTTCCCTGATGATTAGTGATATTGAGCACCTTTTCATGTACTTGTTGGCCATCTGCATGTCATCTTTGGAAAAATGTCTATTCATATCTTCCCATTTTTTAATCAGATTGGTGTGTTTTTTTTGCTATTGAGTTGTATGAGTTCTTTATATATTTTAGATTTTTTATATTTTTTTCCAAAGATTTTATTTATTTTTATTTTAAGGAGAGTGTGGGCACATGAGCAGGGGGAGGGGCCAAGGGAGAGAGGGAGAGAGGAAGGATCTCAAGCAGACTCCGGGCTAAGTGCAGAGGCTGACATGGGGCTCCATCCCATGACCCTGGGATCATGACCTGAGCTGAAACCGAGAGTTGGATGCTTAACCGACTGAGCCACCCAGGTGCCCCATATTTTGGACTTTTAAAATGTATTAAATTTACAAAATGTCAGCCTTTTTCTAGTGTCTACAAAATCTACAAATCTAAAAATACTAATAAACATGGCAAGTCATGGGCTAATAGAGTCATTGGCTCTCCATTATTATGAATGATTAAAAACTGATTTTATTAAACTAAGCAAGGAGTAAAGGGAAAGAGATGTTAAGAACTAATATTTCTTATTACCAATGTCATACCCACTTGAGACCCTTTGCAGTTACTATTCCCTTTGCCTGCTGTTTAACAGTCTAAATGTACCAGATCATCTTTGCATAATTAGCTCCACTTAGGTCACAACTCAAAGGGTACCTTTCCAGGGAGGCCTTCCCTGACAACCTGATAGAAAGGAGCTCTTATAACATCCTTCTTTAATTTCTTTGTAGCAATTAGATTTTTCTAAAATGTATTTGTTCATTTTATTTGTTTGCTTGCTAATTTTTTTGGTCTCTTCCCTCAACCAAGTGGAAGGAAGTCAGAGCTCTTGTGTACTTTGTTCATTGCTGCTTCCTATGGGTGTGTGGCCCATAGTAAGAGCTCTGTGATTAGTTTTTTAACAAATATATGTGAATGGGTAATATTTAATTGCTTTGGGTTTCTGTAGTATATTCTTCATTGGGAATCCCATGATGGATTCCGACATTTAGATGATATATGCCATCAAAAGGAATGAGATCTTGCCATTTGCAATGACGTGGATGGAACTGGAGGGTGTTATGCTGAGCGAAGTAAGTCAATCAGAGAAAGACATGTATCATATGACCTCACTGTCCCCTTCATTTTATAAAATATTCCTTGGGGTACTAATTCTTTTGTATGTCTGTCTCCTGCCACTGGAGTTTGGGCCCCTAAGAGGAGGGCAGGGACTGTCTTGTTCATCTTGATGTCTCTAGCACCAGTTCCATTGCCTGGCTGATTGTAATTGGTCAACAATTGCTTGTTGAATTTCTTTTTTTTTAAGATTTTATTTATTTATTTGATATAGAGAGACACAATGAGAGAGGGAACACAGGCAGGGGGAGTGGGAGAGGGAGAAGCAGGCTTCCCGCCGAGCAGAGAGCCCAATG